AAAAGTACCAAAAACATATTATTTCGATGTCCAGGCTTGATAATCCATGAAAATGGTGAGATTGAAGATGATACTGCACATAGAATTAGAATTGGATGCACGAAATAGAAACATGTTTTTAGAGCCTTATATGATTGTCACAATTCCAATAAAAAACTAAAAAAGAAGTTCTATACGACAGTTGTAAGTTCAACTATGCCTTAACGAATGGAATAATAAGCAGTCAAGAAATAACATATTTATAGATTGAGCATAGCTGAGATACGGATATTGAGATGGATAAGTGACAAGACAAGAAATGATAGAATTCAGAATAAATATATTCGAGAGAACTTAAGGGTAACTCAAATAGTAGATAAGATAAGGGAAAATAGATTTTGATAGTCTGGTCATGTGCAACGTCGACCTAGAACAATACCAATTTAGAAGGCGATTGGATCCAAGTGGAAGGTTCTAAAGCATAAAAGCATAAGGGGAAAGCTTAAAAGGACTTTGATAGAGGTAGTGAGTAGATGTGTGCTGAACTATAGTCTGACTGAGGGCATGACCCTTAATAGAGTGTAAAGTGGCGGAACATGATTTGTACAGCTAACTGTAAATAATTGAGATAAAGTTTGGATAATGTTGATGACAATGACGACAACTCAAGAGCTAGATAAGACTGAAAATTCAGATGTCATGTTGAGCTGGATGAGAATGAAAGTTCGGATGTGGTGCCTGGGACCTTGACCACACGAGCATAAATTTAGTGGCCATTCCTCCGTTTTCTCTCGCGTAATTATGTTCGATAGTCTAGAAGACAAGCTACCAGCCTTTTGGTATCCATGCCCCTTTGCTTGCTTTGGGAAATTGACAAAATATAATTGATGCTGACGTTTCTTTTTTTCTCTTTGGAAAATTGTAAAATATATATTTTTATTTTTGCCTAATTAGAAGAAAAAAACCTCTTAACTTTTAAAAACTTCGTTTCCCACTCTTTTTCTTCAATTTTGATATTTTTTTATTTATCAAAATAGCTTTCACGGTAGTCGTATTACCATAATGACTATTGTATTATGGTACTTTAAGTACCGTAATAATCAGGCTAAACATTATGGTACTTTAGGTACCGTAATAACTAGACTAAGCATCACGTAATAACTAGACTAAGCATCACGGTACTTTAAAAGATCGTAATGCTCAAATTTCTAGTATGATGTAACAAATGAGGGAGAAGAGACCCAATGAGCATTATGTTTTTTAAAGTGCCGTAATGCGTAACCTAGTCATTACAGTTGTTATGGTATTACGATAACCGTGAAGGCTATTTTGATAAAAAAAATGTTTAAATTAAAGAAAAAAAGTGTAGACAAGGTTTATGAAAGTTGGAGGTTTGTTTTTCAATTAAATAAAAAATAAGGTATATTTCTGATAATTTCTCTCTCTTTTTTGGTTCTAATGTGTTCAAAATTTTGAATGTGTATGTAAAAAGAGTTGGACATGTTTTGGTGAATCAGCAGACTCACCTATTACCGAGCAGTCCCTTCTCTTTCTATCGTCCATATCTAAGATGGATGTCAAAAAAGGATGTAAAAAAAGTTACATCTTTAGAATGGACGGTGAAGAAAGGAATTCAAAAAATAATATTTATATTTTTTAAAAAAGGAAATTTTCAATTTTAAATCATTGTGATAGTTGAGATTATTGAATTCTAAAATTTTAGATCGAAAGTACATCTTTGGGATATCTGGTGGGGAGACCGGACAAAGATAGCGAGCCGGTCAACTCACCCAACACTCATCCAAAAGCGTTGCCCATGTCACTCAAAACTTTTTAAAAATGATAACGGGCAAGACGTTTAGAATAGGGTGCGGTTTGTATGTAAAAAATTCTGAGCATATTTAATTATAAAATTTTAAACTCTAAAAATGGTTAAAATCAAATAGATCTATAAACATATAAAAATCTTGCAAATGGACGGTCTAGATAATATGTTGTAAGATAAATTATTTATGGGACTCATTTTTTTTTTTTTCCAAAAACATACATATCGATGTTGGGATGATCAATTAGAGGGTTTTTAACATTAAAACAACATTTTTTAATGGATTTTTGAGACACATCTTTAATCCCACATCACATTGTTAAAGTTGCATCCTTATATAAACTTCTTCTTTTAAAATAACCTTCTTTC